TATATATATATATATATATAACTATTTTATTCAGTTTGATGTTGCGTTTTCTAGGTGTGACCTGGTTAACCAAAGGTAACGTTTTGCTGCTCAACCTTCTTGTCAGCGAAACATCCTGGTTAGACTCATCAAATCTAACACAGTACTGCTTGTCTTTTCAGTTCCGGACACTTGTGACATGGAATTTCAACCCGACAAGTCTTGACACACATGGCTACAAAACTGATAGACTTCCTGTAAGGAAAAGTGAAGGGGAGTAATCTGACTGTGAAAGCAGGTATTTATACTGGGCTGAAGTCACCTGAAAAGAACAGGCTTTGAATAGAATTTTCGATCCAAGTCGCATCTCACAGGTGAATTCAACGTGACCTTTAGGTGATACAGCCTCGGAGGAGTCTGGAAGGCATTCATTTCTGGAATTTGCTCCCGCCAAATACCATGAGAAACCCGATCATTCGCTTGGATTGCCCTCGTGTGAGCTGTCTTACGAGCGGTGCACTTGCATTTCAGTAGTGTACGAAAATAAACAATTTTTACTTTCCAACTCTCTTGTGTGAGCAGTCCCGTTCCGATGTTATCAGTTTACTCCACACATTAACGGAAAGAATCACGGGACTCGAGTTATTGTAAAGGTCACTCATCAGATCACGCGTCACGTGACAATTCCTGTCTCACTTGCAACCTTAGCCGACAACTTGTACTCATCCATTTTGGTTTTACTCGGCTACCAATTGCATAACGAGCCAGGCTTATGAACTTCAACAGATTAGGTCAAATTGTCTTCATGTTTGTACAAGCATCAAACGCGAAGGGACACCCCTCTCTTCACACTGCACACAATAAATAGGCATACAACTAGGTTGAACACACACACTCGCGCGCATAGGACAGGAAGTCAACAGAGCTCTGCAAGTCTCCACGGCCAACTACGGAACACGTGCGGCAGCTATACTGCACAGAAGACACGTCCCGTGTCTGGACTTTTACTCAGGAACTCTCAACACGTGTGCTCAAACGATAAGTCACTTTTTGGCTTATTCCACTTTTCACATTGTATCTATTTATACCAAGTGCACCTAACTACTGTATTCATCACATTCTAGTAAGACAGACATTTGTCGGTGCTTGTTACCTTCTGATAATCAACTTAATTACGTCACAACTAGAGCACTAACATTATTCATTCTACCTAATGCGACTTGCGAAGCAAGTATGCTGCCTTTAATATGCTAAGCGTATCTGACATCCGCATCGACGATCCGTCTACAGAAATCCTGCAACTTAACATAAGTGGACAAAACGTTATCCGACAGGTATACACTGAGTCAGTGACTGAGGTGGACCAGGTAAAATGAGGGTCAACATTACCAAGAACTTAGCGCTCCCCTGTGCACTCAAAGAAACCTGTGAGAAAAGCAAACCATATCACAGTGACGAATGCCTGACAGAGAACGAAACAAAAACAACAAAGATGACAGCAACAACACCGTAAACAACCCGCTTACAATGTCAGCTTACAGTCATGTCTGCCAGTTTGGACCAGTCCGGTTTAAGATAGTAGATGATCCCCTCCTGAGCACCGTCCAACAATGCCGTACGAATGAGAAGAATAATCATAAAGAGATATGGGCTGGTGGCTGTTACGTACATCACCTGCACAGAACAGAATGGGGGGGGGGGGAAAAAACATGATAAAGATGGAAAAAACACACACACACACACACACACACACACACACACACACACACACACACACACACTGAGTCGAACTGACAGCGACAGTCTATGCGGGAGTGCAAAGTTTTGACATATCGTCTCGTCCGATGAGACAGGATCCGGTTCATTTCACCGCCGTCCACTCTGTCTACGCAAACGCTGGTACTCTTACGGAGCGACAACAACAGCGGCGCAAATGGTATCGTAACTTCCTGTCTTTCAGTTGTTCTAGATGGACAAGTGTAAACCGAGCATGACACGGTATGACGGCAGTCTACTTGACTTAGATGGTAGGGCACGATAGTCTCCGTCTACTCACCATCCCGTGCTTGTGTCAGATATCACTGACGGTTGGATACGCACGTCCGTTCCTAGTCTTGTGTGTAAAAAACGCGTCGTGCTGAATTTCTAAAGTCAGACAGTGCTTATCCAATGCTAGAATTCCTCAAAACAGATTTTGGTTTTCATCGTAAGAGTTGATAACTCGTATTACCGCGCATGGAGGCCGGTTAAACGACTGGCTAATTCATTGGAAGTGTACGAGAAATTGGCGTAATACACTCATTTGCAAACTAATTGGATTTTGTCAGAGACTTGTCTGAAACCCAGCTGAATCTGTCGTTTGTGATGTTTCCAGGCATTACGAATAGGTATATGTATCGCACTATCTCGAATAGCTTAGTGAATGAAACATGAAACGGCCTGGTGCTGCACATTCAGTTGCCTGGAAACATCGCAAACGAGAGGTTCAGCTGGGTTCCAGGTGAGTCTCTCGGAAAAGCAAATTCGTTTGCAAATGAGTGCATTTCGCTAATTTCGTGCAATACGGTTTCGAGTAGAACATAGGTTTCACGGGACTGCGCCTACCTGATGAGCCCGAAGCAGAAGGACGAAACCGGTCGTGGGCTGTCGACGAATTTTCAGCAACCTTATGAGTAGAGCATTACTATCATACGAGATGTTCTTTATTCCGACTACGATGAACATTATCGGTTACAATGAACTGCAGTTTTTCGGTAGAAATTTCCGTAGACAAGCAACCATGTCCCAAGATGTGGTCGGTTGCTGGTATGCTGGGTCCCAAGTATTGCTCGCCCCCACCCAACAAATCCTCTCTGTACTTTTATCGTCAACTTTGGATTCCTGCCAAGCCTTGAAGAACTTCATATTAATGTTTTCAGGCTTTTTGCTCAACATGAAACATGCGTAGACTCTTGGCTTGGTAGTCAGCTAACAGTTTATCATTTTGCGATGAGCAAAGAGGAGAACTCGATCTATCTATCTAATTTTGTTTTCGGCTATTATCCGGGCACGGAAACTACGTCGTGTGTACATTTTGACATGTTTAAGCGGGTGGTGTGATGCAGTCTCGTCATCGCCTCTTTCAACACCAAGGTGTCCTTGTCATTACTGGTCCACAAGATAGCGTCATTTTCTGAGACTACCAAATCGGGCAAGTGATAACAACTTCGATTATTGAGAAAGGATCAACTAAGTGCAACTTGCTCGCACACACGTAAAAAACTATTTATTTTCACCGTGAGCCGACCATAATCGGGTGTTTGAAAAAGCTTCTGGGATAATTTAAGCTCGATGCATTTCCAAGTTCGACAAGCAGACCAACAACCATGCAGCGCACCTGGACTACCTATATTCCTCAAATTCGTCAGTGTAGCAGTTCATTGCTGAGGCATTGCTGAGGCACCGACACGCACTGACCATGTCAGGCGGATTGTTGAATAAATGTTCTCAGCAAATCAGCCATCCAAGAGAACAAACAAAACGTCGGATTCGAGGTCTCAGTCACCAACATTCTCTCGTTTATCCCGTAGGCAAACATAGACGGTCGGATTTGGTGTGATTACCGAGGCCTGGTTCTTCGGAGGGCTGCATGTGTTGCAATGTGTTGCTTTTTAGGCGTGCCATTACTCACTTCGGAGTTGATGAGTGGACTAATTTGACCCAGATAATCTCCGGTTCCCAACGGTAAATTCGGTATTCTGTGGCTCATTCAGACTGACGTGCTTCGCTTTCCTAACAATCTGACCGTTGATTTCTCGCTAAAAAAAACCATGACCTCAAAACAGCTAGACAAATCTGGACACCAAGAAGAGGATTCGGGTTCAAAAGACTACGGGACCTTTTGCATCTGACCGTTTCTCGCTAAAAAAAACCATGACCTCAAAACAGCTAGACAAATCTGGACACCAAGAAGAGGATTCGGGTTCAAAAGACTACCTACGCTTTTGCAAACCAGTAACCAATAGGTTCACAGTTTGTTCACAAATGTATTAACTGGCCAGCGAAGCGTGATACCTCGATTCGCACACCGAAAGAAAGAGACATCGCAAGTGGCCAGCTGTCCCATTCAAGATCAGCTCTGGCTGGTAGTTTGGATCTCCATAGTCAGAAAAAGCTGTGTAGATGAAAGCGGATGGATGAGTGGTCGAGTGACGACTAGCACAGGCGCGCGCGCGCACACACACACACAAGCGTGCGATTATCGGGCGGAGCAGTCAGTGCGAGTATAACAATGGGGAATGCGGAGGCGTGGAGAGTTCAGCAAAAACAAGTCATCATTGTCAGCTGTAATAACCGCGTACTCGTCGTACAGTGGTTGTAGCTGCCACAGTTTCGTTCACTGATGATTCGGAGAGGTGGGTTAGGTAGCTACGCA